TATAAGGCACTGATATTTTTGGTGTTTATCGGCGCAAACACTTTTCACTTGATCCTCCAAATAATCTAATGTGAGTTCATTTGTGTCCAGCTCATCTAAACACCATATATTACAGTATATTTATAATAATAAACTTATAATACAAATTGAAAGTAAGTAAAATGCAAATTACAAACCAATCAGTCTTTGGGCGGACTCTTTAATTCTGTCATCCATTTCATCATTGATTGTGGGGTTGTATGTAATGACACCATTGATCACAATAAGTAGTATTAATATGACTACTAATTTAAATAATTTAATGTATTTTGAATACATTGATGAGAATAAAGTATTTATTTTTACAATATTTACTATTTTTATATGTTAAATAATATAATACAATAATACTGTAGAATAAATGGTTTTATAAAGTAATTCATAGGCCCTATGACATAGGGTATAATATCCTGCTCTGAGTATTCAATATGACATCAAGTAATAAATCTCTATGATATCAAATCTAATAACCAGGGAGAGGTCGTAAAACATATTTAATAATATTTGCAGTAAGTATTTATAATGAAATGTAGTAATTATTACTGGATAGTTTGCAAATATATTAAAGATAATAAAGTACAATATTAGTTTATTATGACATTACTGTATACTATGAATTTCATAGTATGAAACATTTTATATAAATTACAAATAATTTCCAATAAATCACAAATTTGTAATTTACATTAAAATAATTAAGCTACTTAATCGTAATAAACATAAGTTTGTATAGATTTTGGATCTATTTTTGTGGTTAGTTTCCCAGCCTTACTGTCCTCTACAGTAAAGTCAATGTCTGTCTCATCATTATTAACGACAATAACAACCGTCGAGTTCTGAGGGGTACGGAAGGCACCGACAGTTGCCTCTGTATTGTTTCGTATAACAATGGGTGAGTCAACCCGTACGGCACCGGGACGTAAGAATTTGGCGAAGTGTGCCATAGCGTAGAAGGAAGGCTGACGGTAGTACTCGTGGGCGTCCAGGTTAGCGATTATGGGAGAGTCGAACCGATTACCCGGGATCCAGGAGGGGCCTCCTGATGTGTCCAAAACCATATTCCAGTCGGTCCACCCCACAGTGTGGTGGTTCAGAGTCTAATGAAATAGGTATACAGTTTTACATAAACCTCATAACTCTCATATAAGTTTTACAACATTCATATACATTATATATATAAGTACATATAATTAAGTACATATATATAAGTACATGTACATATACATTATACATTAAGTCTTATACTAATAAACTCACTCCAAGTATATCGTAACCATAAGCCTGAGCCAATTCCCACGCCCCGAGTCTAACTCCAGGTCCCATACAGGCCTCAGTAGACAGAATGAACTTATCAGGGTGTAATTTATGTGGTTCGTCGAGATTAGTATGCGGTGAATGTGTGTACCAATGGATGGCAGTCCCGGCCGCGTATTTGGCGGCCGTCTTGTCGGCGAATATAACGCGAACCCATTCCTGGACCTCATCTAAGTTATGGTCCCATACCATCACTTTCAGTCTGTCTGTTCCCCAACCATTGCTCTCAAGTACCGGTCCTAACGTGTTGGCCAAAAAGTCTCGCATTTGTTCCGGGGTATACAGCATTGAATTGAATGGTTGGTTAGCCCGGGGCTCGTTTTGGATGGTTATCCCCCAGTGGGTGATGTTATGGGCCTTATATGCGTTTAGATAGCTATCAAAAAGTAAATTTTAAAAATGATATCATTTTAATGAATGACTACATACTGTATGAAATAGTTGGCCCATATTTGCCAGTACTCTGAGCCGACGGGGCCTTTAATACTGCCTCCATGTGCTAAATCGTTGTTAGTTTTCATCCATTTGGGTGCAGACCAGGGACTCCCAAACAGCCGGATCTCATGAGTGGCCAATGCCTTGGCTTTTAATATGGTTGGGATCTGTTGGCATTGATTTCATAATTATTAAATAAAAATAAGTTGCCTGTCTAACTTTATAATCGAGATCCTCATTGGTGAGATTCCACTTCTGAAGCTGTCTGTCCTCTGTCTGGTCGTCCAGAGAGTAGGCACGGGTAGAAAAATCGCAGCCACCGATGGGAATGCGTCCGACATTGTACTCAATGCCATCTTTGCTGAAGTAGTCGTCGAGTATCTGAGCGCCCAATTTGTCCCCCATTTTGTTGATATTAATTCCGGTCGAGTCAGTGAACGCACCCCCGAAACCAAAGATCTCCTGATATTTCACATCCCTGTCCACTTTGATGTGCAATTGTGCGGCCGCGGCTTCAGAGTTCAACTGTTGTCCGAAATGTAAGGCCTGTTTGCGAAGTCGTGCGCCGTCTCGACTGGACTCCCATTTGGTGACCACACCGGCAGCTGTTTTGACCGGACCCTCGATCTTATCGCAGGGCTGACCCTCAGTACAGACACATACGAAAGAGTCGTATCCCGACTGCTTGTAGTTCTTGCAGTCGGGGGTTATGGCACCCAAACTACCGGTGATCGCGAGAAACGCGACCGTAATATAAACCAAACACTTATTCATAACAAACACTGAAATAAATAATTCAGTTTTTAATAATAATTGTTTTCTATTGTATTACTCTTTTATAGAGTATTCTTCCTAATATCTAATCGATATATTGTAGTATTTGTGATTGACTATTATTTTTGAGATAATGTTATAAACTCCTTTGACAATTTATATTGGAATTTGGCTATTAAGGTATTTTTAAAGAAATTTATAATAAATACAAATGGAAAATTTAGAATCGATAAATAAACGAGCTCAACCTATTTTGAAACTGATTTTTAACGTGTTAATAAGTGCATTGATGTTTATTTTATGTCATATTGACACCTGTAAACACTTATAAATTATAAGTTTTAATCCTCATGTGAACTTGTGCATATTTGAGTATATTGAAAAATTCTTGAAAATTATAATCTGTTATTAAAACATATGGGATATAATTGGTGAAAACTTTATTTGACATTAAATGTATTACTAATACAGTATTAGTTTATTAATTAATTAAACAGATACTGTGTATGACTTAATCGTAATAAACATAAGTTTGTATAGATTTTGGATCTATTTTTGTGGTTAGTTTCCCAGCCTTACTGTCCTCTACAGTAAAGTCAATGTCTGTCTCATCATTATTAACGACAATCACAACCGTCGAGTCATGAGGGGTACGGAAGGCACCGACAGTTGCCTTTGTATTGTGTTGAGTAACGACAGGTGAGTCAACCCGTACGGAACCGGGAGGTAAGAATTTGCTGAAGTGGGCCATAGCGTAAAAGGAGGGCTGACGGTAGTACTCGTGTGCCTCGGGGTTCACAATTACCGGAGCATCGACCCAATTGCCGACCCAAGTGGGCCCTCCCTGGGTGTCCAGAACCATGTTCCAGTCGGTCCACCCAACTGTGTGGTGGTTTAGAGTCTAATGAAACAGTTATACAGTGTTACGTTAAAAAGTCTCATTGACCACCTCTATAAATACTGACTCCCAGTATGTCATAAGCGTATCGCTCGGCCAACTGCCATAAGCCGAGTCTTACTTTGGGCCCCATACAGGCCTCAGTTGCTAGGATGAACTTATCAGGGTGACTATTGTGGGGTCCATCGAGGTTAGTATGGGGTGAATTAGAGTACCAATGAATGGCAGTCCCGGCCGCGTATTTGGCGGCCGTCTTGTCGGCGAATATAACGCGAACCCATTCCTCCACGAGATCTAAGTTATGGTCCAAAACCATGACTTTTAGTTTATCGGGTCCCCAACCGCTGCTCTCCAGCACCGGTCCTAAGGTTTTGGCTAAAAAGTCTCGCATTTGTTCCGGAGTATACAGCATTGAATTGAATGGTTGGTTAGCCCGGGGCTCGTTTTGGATGGTTATCCCCCAATGGGTGATATTGTGGGCTTTATAGGAGTTCAGGTAGCTATTGATATATTGATATTTTTATATCATTTCGTAATATTCTCAAACTGTGAGCACTTACTGTACGAAATAGTTGGCCCATATTTGCCAGTACTCGGAGCCAACGGCGCCCTTAAGGCTACCCCCATGTATTAATTCGTTGTTGGTTTTCATCCATTTGGGTGCAGACCAGGGACTGCCAAACAGTCGGATCTCATGTGTGGCCAATGCTTTGGCTTTTAATATGGTCGGGATCTATTGTCGTGATTTATAAACAAAAAGTTCATAATTATTTGAATTAATATTAATTACAGTATTAGTATATTTTACATACTTTATAATCGAGGTCCTCATTGGTGAGATTCCACTTCTGAAGCTGTCTGTCCTCTGTCTGGTCGTCCAGAGAGTAGGCTCGGGGAGAGAAGTCTGAACCCCCGATGGGAATGCGTCCGACATTGTACTCAATGCCATCTTTGCTGAAGTAGTCGTTGAGTATCTGAGCGCCCAATTTGTCCCCCATTTTGTTGATATTAATTCCGGTCGAGTCAGTGAACGCACCCCCGAAACCAAAAATCTCCTGGTGTTTCACATCCCTGTCCACTTTAATACTCAACTGTGCGGCCGCGGCCTCAGAGCCTACTTGTTGCCCGAAATGTAAGGCCTGTTTGCGAAGTCGTGCGCCGTCTCGACTGGACTCCCAATTGGTGACCACACCGGCAGCTGTTTTGATCGGACCCTCGATCTTATCGCAGGGCTGACCCTCAGTACAGACACACGCGAACGAGTCGTGTCCCGACTGCTTGTAGTTCTTGCAGTCGGGGGTTATGGCACCCAAACTACCGGTGATCGCGACTAACGCGACCGTAATATAAACCAAATACTCATTCATTGCCAACACCTGAATAAATAATTCTGCTTAATAATAATTGTTTTTCTAGTGAATACCTGGTTTATATGCCCTTTAAAATCTAATCGATATTTTGTTATTTGTGACTATAATATTGAGATAATTTACTGCCTTGACAAGTTGTTTAAGAAATTATCAANATTTAATGTCAAATAAAGTTTTCACCAATTATATCCCATATGTTTTAATAACAGATTATAATTTTCAAGAATTTTTCAATATACTCAAATATGCACAAGTTCACATGAGGATTAAAACTTATAATTTATAAGTGTTTACAGGTGTCAATATGACATAAAATAAACATCAATGCACTTATTAACACGTTAAAAATCAGTTTCAAAATAGGTTGAGCTCGTTTATTTATCGATTCTAAATTTTCCATTTGTATTTATTATAAATTTCTTTAAAAATACCTTAATAGCCAAATTCCAATATAAATTGTCAAAGGAGTTTATAACATTATCTCAAAAATAATAGTCAATCACAAATACTACAATATATCGATTAGATATTAGGAAGAATACTCTATAAAAGAGTAATACAATAGAAAACAATTATTATTAAAAACTGAATTATTTATTTCAGTGTTTGTTATGAATAAGTGTTTGGTTTATATTACGGTCGCGTTTCTCGCGATCACCGGTAGTTTGGGTGCCATAACCCCCGACTGCAAGAACTACAAGCAGTCGGGATACGACTCTTTCGCGTGTGTCTGTACTGAGGGTCAGCCCTGCGATAAGATCGAGGGTCCGATCAAAACAGCTGCCGGTGTGGTCACCAAATGGGAGTCCAGTCGAGACGGCGCACGACTTCGCAAACAGGCCTTACATTTCGGACAACAGTTGAACTCTGAAGCCGCGGCCGCACAATTGCACATCAAAGTGGACAGGGATGTGAAATATCAGGAGATCTTTGGTTTCGGGGGTGCGTTCACTGACTCGACCGGAATTAATATCAACAAAATGGGGGACAAATTGGGCGCTCAGATACTCGACGACTACTTCAGCAAAGATGGCATTGAGTACAATGTCGGACGCATTCCCATCGGTGGCTGCGATTTTTCTACCCGTGCCTACTCTCTGGACGACCAGACAGAGGACAGACAGCTTCAGAAGTGGAATCTCACCAATGAGGATCTCGATTATAAAGTTAGACAGGCAACTTATTTTTATTTAATAATTATGAAATCAATGCCAACAGATCCCAACCATATTAAAAGCCAAGGCATTGGCCACTCATGAGATCCGGCTGTTTGGGAGTCCCTGGTCTGCACCCAAATGGATGAAAACTAACAACGATTTAGCACATGGAGGCAGTATTAAAGGCCCCGTCGGCTCAGAGTACTGGCAAATATGGGCCAACTATTTCATACAGTATGTACTCATTCATTAAAATGATATCATTTTTAAAAAGTACTTTTTATAGCTATCTAAACGCATATAAGGCCCACAACATCACCCACTGGGGGATAACCATCCAAAACGAGCCCCGGGCTAACCAACCATTCAATTCAATGCTGTATACCCCGGAACAAATGCGAGACTTTTTGGCCAACACGTTAGGACCGGTACTTGAGAGCAATGGTTGGGGAACAGACAGACTGAAAGTGATGGTATGGGACCATAACTTAGATGAGGTCCAGGAATGGGTTCGCGTTATATTCGCCGACAAGACGGCCGCCAAATACGCGGCCGGGACTGCCATCCATTGGTACACACATTCACCGCATACTAATCTCGACGAACCACATAAATTACACCCTGATAAGTTCATTCTGTC